CAGGCTCTGGAAGGGGCTGCCCAGGGAGGTGGTCGAGTCCTCATCCCTGGAGGTATTTAAAAGAAGGATAGATGAGGTGCTTGGGGACATGGTTTAGTGGTGGGATGGCAGGGTTAGGTTAAAGGTTGGACTCAATGATCTTAAAGGTCTTTTCCAACCAAAGTGATTCTATGATTCCCCACCTAGTGCAGCAGAAACCCAGCCCTGCCACCAGGGTTGGGGACATTTCAGAACCTGAGCTCCTGATGAGCTCTTTTCAGAGCCTGAGCTCCCTATGTTTCGAGGTGGTGGCAGAAACCTTAATGAGGACAAACAGAAGAGGCAACTCAAGCGTTAATGTTCAGTAGAGCAGGAGAGGGCTTTCCCCCATCCTGTTTTAAAGATGGGTTTGTTTCCTGCTGCTGTCTGTAGAAGACTTTCTCAGAAAAAAATCTGCCTCGTTGCCCAGGGTTGGAGCTGTGAATCTCAAATTGTCAGCAGTGCTTCTGTCAGGCCATAAATAACTCGCTGTAAAAGAAGTTCTCTGCTAGACCTTGGGCAAGGGAAGGGTGAAGAAACTGCCAGCAATGACTTTTTTTACACGCATGGGAAGTTTTCTCTGAATGCAAACACATCATAAACATTTTGTCTTCGTAGTGATATTGTGGGTAGGGTTCACAGACGGTGACTGTAGCAGTGAGAAAGAGTCCGGGCATCGTGATGAGGCACACATATCCAGAGGAGGAGGTGGGAGAAGGATGCTAAGAATAGCCTAACTTCCCCAAAATCCCTGCCCACAGCGGTATGTGTCACCTTATGGGGAAGATCTTGGTGTCTAGCAAAGTCCCCGTTCCCCTCCGCTTCCCGTCACAGTCGTGACACAGCTCAGCCCTGATTCTGACAGGATTTTTCCTTGCCCACTCCTGTCTGCCCTTGCTGTGCCATCATGGTCCCTCTTATCGCCTTGCCTGTATGTGGGGACACGGTAGCGATCTAGAGGTGCGTGGAAGGACATGAATTTCACGTATCAGGGATATTTTTTGCTACAGGGCAGCTCCGTAAAAAGCCTTTACTAATTATATCAAGACTTCATGCATAAATTTGCTTCTTAAAAATACATCTCTCCGGTCCTTAGCAGGATGGCTGTGTCCCCGTGGTGTCATTTGTCAGACAAAACTCTTAGCTTAGCCTGAGTCTTCCAGCTCCCCTGCCCCAAAATGGTTGATCTGTGACAGGGTGCTCCACCGGGCTGTGACCTTGACTCATGCTGTTCCTCTTCCATGGCTCTGGGATGGGTTTTTGTCTTGCCACTGTTTTTTGACGCTGTTTTTTGACACCGTCAGCTAATCCTGGACACACAGGGCCAACCCAGGAGAACAGGACCACCTATTTATCAGCAGTGATGGGTGCCAGGCTCTGAGATGGTTGCCAGAGCCAAAGCCAGGCTGTAGACACAGCTGAAGAGGTGGCGGTGAGCTCTCCCAGCTGCACCCAGGAGAGGACGGGGACATTTGCACAGACTGGCCCTGCCAGATGCTGTGTGAGGTGGTGGAAACCCCCTCATCATGCAGAGCGCTCATCTCTTGGTGAGCTTCACGAAGCACGTGGGCTGGTGTCCCAGGGCAGGAGCGGGTTTGGGACCTCCACCTGCCTCAGGCCAGGCTCACAAGGTGCAGTAGGGTTTTTTCCCCCTTCTTGCTGATCAGCCCATAGGTGCCCATGTACAGTCTCAGCCGCTCACTCCTAACTCCTTCCCCCATGGGCATCCCCCAGCAAAGCCCCTCCGTGCCGCCCACCATCATGCGTAGCTCTGTTTGCCTCCATCCACCCATCCCTTGATGATAAATCATTACCAGAAGCGAGATAACATCTCTCCCTCTGCCTGTCCTTTCAGCTCCACTTGCTTTTTAGTGTCTCTCTTTTTTTTTTTTGGTTTTTTTTCCTCTTTCCCTTTTCCTTTTTAGCTTTGGTAGAGTCGCC